AATGTACTGTATCACATGGTTGATTTATGGATATTGAAGCATACATCCCTGGGATCCACTTGATCATGGTGTGGGATTTTAATGTATTGTTGAATTTGGTTTGCTAGCATTTTGTTGAGGATTTTTGCATTTAAGTTCACCAGTGATATTGACATCTAATTTTCTTTTTGTAATTGTGTCTTTGGTTTTAGTATCATGGTGATGCTGGCCTTGTAGAATGAGTTCAGGTGTAGTCCTTTTTCAATATTTTGGAACAATTTGAGAAGGGTATGCATTAACTCTTCTTTAAATATTTGGTTAAATTTATGTGTGAAGGTGTCTGGTCATGAACTTTTGTTTGTTCACAGTTCTTTTTTTATTGAATCAATTTCATTACCAGTCTTTTTATATTTTCTATTTTCTCTTGATTCTGTTTTAGAGATTGTATATTTCTAGGAATTTATCCATTTCTTCTGGTTGTCTATTTATTGATGCATAACTCTTTGTAGTAATCTCTTATGATCCTTTGTATTTCTGTGGTATTAGTTGTACCTTATCTTTCAATTTTGTTATTATTTATTAGGGCCATCTCTCTTTTTCTAGATGAGTCTAGCTAAATATTTATCATTTTGTTTATCCTTTCAAAGAAATTGCTCTTAATTTTATTGCTCTCTCTATTCTTTTTCCTCCAGTTTTCTTTATTTCTGCTCTGATTTTTATTATTTCTTTCTTTTTACTAACTTTGGATTTTGTTTGTTCTTCTTTTCCTATTTCCTTTAGCTATAATGTTAAATTGTTTGATTTTTTTCTTATTTCCTGAAATAGGCTTGAATCCCTATAATCTTTTCTCTTAAAATTGTTTTTGCATCATCCCATAGATTTTGGATCTTTGTGTTTCCATTTTTATTTGTCTACAGATATTTTCTAATTCTCTCTTTGATTTCTTTAATGAACCATTTGTTATTTAGTAGCATATTGTTTAGCTTCCACATCTTTGTGTTTTTGCAGTTTTGTTTTTCCTGTACTTGATCCTTAATTTCATACATTTTGGGTTGGAAAAGATGCTCCATATGATTTCAATATTCTTAAACTTATCAAGAATTGTTTTGAGGTCTAGCATGTGATCTATCCTGGTGAATGTTCTTGTTCCATGTGTACTTGAAAAGAATATGTTTTCTGTTGCTTTGGAATGCAGTTTTCTGTATACATATATTAAGTCCAACTTATCTAATGTTCCTTTAAGGACAATGTTTTTGTTTTGATTTTCTGTCTGGATGATTTGTCCATTCACTTAAGTGGGGTGTTAAAGTCTGCAGCTATTCCTGTATTACCATCAATTTCTCCCTTTATATTTGTTAATATTTGCTTTATGTGATCAGATGATCCTATGTTTTGTGAAGACATATTTACAATTGTTATATCTTCTGTTGGATCAATTCATTTATTATTATGTACTGTCTTCTTTTACTCTTGCTACAATCTTTGTTTTCAAGTCATTTTGTCTGACATGAGTATTGTTACCACAGCTTTCTTTTTATTTCCTTTTGCATGGAATACACTTTTCTATTCTCTCATTCTCAGTCTTTGTGTGACTTTAGATGTGACATGAGTTTCTTTAAGGCAGTATATATGTGGATCTTTTTTTAAAATTCATTTAACCACTCTATGTCTTTTGATTGTAACATATTGAGTCTATTTACATTTAATGTAATTATTGATAGTTATTTACTTATGCCATTCTGTTAATTGTTTAGGGGTTATTTTTGTAGTTCCCTTTTGCTTCTTTCTTCTTCTTTTGCTTGTCATTTGATGTCTATCTGTGTTATGTTTAAATATCTTTCTTTGTGTGCGTGTATGTGTGTGTGTGTGTGTGTGTGTGTGTGTGTGTGTGTGTGTGTGTATCAATTATTGGATCTTGCTTTGTGGTTACCATGAGGTTCATGTAAAATAACATATATGTGTGCATGTGTTTTTAAAGCATATTTGTTTTTATTTATAGATAGTTATCACGTGAATTATAAAGAAAAAAAAGAATATCAGAATGGAACTGATAGATGTATGCATGCTATGGCTAAGAATAAACAATGTTTTTTACATATTATGTTTAGTGAGAACATTCTCAGTATAACAGGGAATTATGATTACCTAAAAATATGTAGAAGTTATTTAATCTGTGCTTTAGAAATAACTGTATATAGTTTTATAAGCTGAAAAGAATTCAAAAGAATAATACCAAATATATACCTGTGTATAAGATTCAGAAAAGGCTTCAGTCTGTAAAGTCAATCAGCTGTATTATAGATAGACAGATAGATAGGTAGATAGATAGATAGATAGATAGATAGATAGTAATTTGATACTATCTTATTGTAAGTTGATATTCTTTTAATTCTGAGCACAATTTAACCACCCCACTTTTTTCCCCAATTTCCATGGTTTAATCTTTTTGATGTCATATTTGCATCTTTTGGTTTTGTGTATCCTTCAACTACTTATTGTGGACATAGACAATTTTACTACTTGGTCTTTTATCCTTCCTACTAACTTAAAGTGTTTGATCTACATTACCTGTATGTTTTCTTTTACCAGTTATATTTTTCTTTCATAATTTTTGTATTTCTAGCCATGGCCTTTTCTTTTCCACTTAGAAAATTCCCTTTAATTTTTATGGTAAAGCTGGTTTAGTGGTAAAGCTGGTTTAGCTTTTGTTTGTCTGCAAAACTCTTTATGTCTCCTTCAAAGTGAAAGATAGCCTTGCTGAGTAGAGTATTCTTGGATTTTATATCCTTTCATCACTTTGAATATATCATGCATCTTCTTCCTGGACTGCAAATTACTGCTGAAAATTCTTCGGACAGTCTTATGGGAGTTCCCTTGTAAGTAACTAGTGGATTTTATCTTGCTGTTTTTAAGGTTCTCTCTTTAATTTTTGCCATTTTAGTTATGTCTTGGTGTGGACCTCTTTGGGTTAATCTTTTTTCAGACTCTTTGCTTCCTTGACCTGGATTATTTTTCCTTTCTTAGGTTAGGGAAGTTTTCAGCTATCATTTCTTCAAGTAAATTATCTGCCTCTTTCTCTTTTGTCCTTCAGCGACCTTATAATGGTGAATGTCAGTATGCTTGATGTTATTCTAGAGGTCTCTTTAACTATACTCATTTTTAACAATTTTGTCATTGTTGTCCAGCTTGGTTGATTTCCACTGCTCTGTTTTCCACTATTCTGATCCATTCCTCTGTATCATTTAATCTACTATTGATCGTTCAAGTGTGCTTTTTAAAAAAACATAACAGTTTTATTGAAATATAACACATATATCACAAAATTCACCCACTTAAAATACTCAATTCAGTGGTTTTTAATACATTCATTGAGTTGTTCAAGGCATTACCACACTGGATTTTAGAAGATTTTCATCACCTCCCAGAAGAAACCATGTACATATTTCCAGTCAGTCCACATTTCCCTCAATCCCTCTGACTACCTCTGGGCAACTACCAACCTACTTCCTGTCTCTACAGATTTGTCTATTCTGGACATTTCATGTAAATGGAATCATATAGTATGTGGTCTTTTGTGACTGGCTTCTTTCATTTAGCATGTTTTCAAAGATCATTCATGATGTAGTATATATCAGTATACCACTCCTTTTTATTGCCAAATAATATTCCATTGTATGGACCATACTACACTTTATTCACCCATTCATCATTTGATGGACAGATGAATGAATAAATTTGGGTTATTTCCCCTTTTTCTATTATGAATAATGCTGTTATGAACATTTTTTGGTAAGTTTTGTGTGGATGTAGGTTTTCATTTCTCTTGGATATATATTTAGGAGTGGAATTGCTGGGTTATATGGTAACACCTATGCTTAATCTTTTGAGGAACTGCTAGATTGTTTTCCAAAGAAACTGGATCATTTTTGAGTATTCCAATTTCTCTACATCCTCACCAAATGTATTATTTTTTTTTGTCTTGAGGATTCCAATTTCTCTACATTCTCACCAACACTTACTATTTTTTGTCTTTTTTAAACTATAGCTATCCTAGTGGGTGTGAAGTGGTATCTTATCAAAAGTGATTCTGATTTGCATTTCCTTGTGCTTTTGGGGTAATATCTAGGAAATCAGGACCTAATCCAAGATCATAAACATTTACATTTATGTTTGCCTATGTTTTCTTCTAAGAGTTTTACAGCTTTAGCTCTTATTTAGGGCTTTATTTCATTTTCAATTAATTTTTGTATAGAGTGTGAGGTAATTATTTTGCAGGTGAATACCCATTTGTCCTAGCACCATTTGTTGAAAAGACTATTCTTTCTCCATTATACTGTCTTGGTACTCTTGTTGAAAATCAGTTGACCACAGATATATGGGTTTATTTCTGGACTCTGAATTCTCTTCCATTGATTCATATGTCTATCCTTAAGCCATTCTCAGTACATCTGTCTCTACAACTGTAACTGTGCAGAAAGTTTAGAGATTAAGAAGTGTGAGTCTTCCAATTTTTTTCTTTTCTGTCAAGACTATTTTGGCTATTTTGTGTCATTGTGGTTTTGATTTGACAGCTAATGATTTTGAGTATCTTTTCTTGAGCTTATTGGACATTTGTCTATCTTTTTGAAGAAATGTCTATTGATAATCTTTGCTCATTTTTAAATTAGATTATTTGTCTTTTTATTGTTGAGTTGTCAGAGTTCTTTATATATTCTTTTTTTCTATTTTATTTCATTTTTTTGAATTTATGAAAATAAATGTATTGCCACAGAAATTAGAATGCTCACTAAGAGTTTCCAAATTCTGGAGGGATCAGATAGGGAGATAAAGGTAAATGTTTCATCTCTGTTCACAAAGGTGTATGTCAGCAAATTACTGATAGCTTAAGAGAAAAGAGAAAAGATTTTCTTAAATCTGGAAAAACAAAGCACAGAAGAACAAAAAACATTTCAAACAGAAAGTCACAAAAATTATAATCACCCTCACCAGTTCACTCAGTCTCATGTAATTAATTTTTTTTCCATCTTGATCTTTTGTTAGCACTTTTATGAATTCAACTGTTTTCCATTAGAGTTCTGAAAATGCTTATTCATTCACTTCAGCAGTATAGTTAGTTACCAGAAACCTGCAATTGTCAGAGTCTTTTCCATGAATTCCCTGAAGATAAAACACTTATATAGGAACATTTTTGCAAAAGCATCAGAGTACACCCAGAACTGTCTGTAAATGACAAAAGACTTAAAAATGACCACAGTAAAAGATTTGATGAAAGTTCATAATAATGCAACTGACAAGGAAATTTAGCTATTTCTGAGATATACATTTTAAAATAATAAATAGAATTATGACTTATAACATTATACTAGAACATATAAGATTTTTAGGAATTTCATGTAATATCTGAAGCATTTACATTAACGTATTTCCATACAAATAACCCAAAGAAAATTGAGTATTAGTTCTTTTAATTTAATTTAATTTAATTTTTAAACAGCAGGTTCTTATTAGTCAGCTATTTTATACACATCAGTGTATACATGTCAATCCCAATCACCCAATTCATCACACCACATCCAACCCAACCCCCATGGCTTTCCCTCTTTGGTCTCCATACGTTTCTTCTCTACATCTGTGTTTCAAATTCTGCCCTGCAAACCAGTTCATCTGTACCATTATTCTAGGTTCCACATACATGCGTTAATATACAATATGTGTTTTCTCTTTCTGACTTACTTCACTCTCTATGACAGTCACAAGATCCATCCATGTCTCAACAAAGACCCAATTTCGTTCCTTTTATAGCTGAGTAATATTCCACTGTATATATGTACCACATCTTCTTTATCCATTCATCTGTCGATGGGCCTTTAGTTTGCTTCCATGACCTGGCTATTGTAAATAGTGTTGCAATGAACAATGGGGTGTATGTGCATTTTGAATTATGGTTTTCTCTGGATATATGCCCAGGAGTGGGATTGCTGGATCATATGGTGTTTCTATTTTTAGTTTTTTAGGAAACCTCCATACTGTTCTCCATAGTGGCTGTATCAATCTACATTCCCACAAACAGTGCAAGAGGGCTCCCTTTTCCACACCCTCTCCAGCATTTGTTGTTTGTAGATTTTCTAATGATGCCCTTTCTAACTGGTGTGAGGTGATACCTCATTGTAATTTTGATTTGCATTTCGCTAATAATTAGTGATGTTGAGCACCTTTTTATGTGCTTCTTGGCCATCTGTATGTCTTCTTTGGAGAAATCTCTATTTAGGTCTTCTGGACATTTTTGGATTCGTTTGTTTATTTCTTTAATATTGAGCTGCATGAGCTGTTTATATATTTGGGAGATTAATCAATTGTCTGTTGATTCATTAGCAAATATTTTCTCCCATTCTGAGGGCTGCCTTTTCATCTTGTTTATGGTTTCCTTTGCTGTGCAAAAGGTTTTTTTTTAGTTTCATTAGGTCCCATTTGTTTATTTTTGTTTTTATTTCTATTACTCTATGAGGTGGATAAAAAAAGATCTTGCTGTGATTTATGTCAGAGTGTTCTTCCTATGTTTTCCTCTAAGAGTTTCATAGTGTCCAGTCTTGCATTTAGGTCTCTAATCCATTTAGAGTTTATTTTTGTGCATGGTGTTAGGGAGTGTTCTAATTTCCTTCTTTTACATGTAGCTGTCCAGTTTTCTCAGCACCACTTGTTGAAGAGACTGTCTTTTCTCCATTGTACATCCTTGCCTCCTTTGTCATAGATTAGTTGACTATAGGTGCGTGGGTTTACCTCTGGGCTTTCTACCTTGTTCCATTGTTCTATGTTTCTGTTTTTGTTCCAGTACCATATTGTCTTGATTACTGTAGCTTTGTAGTATAGTCTGAAGTCAGGGAGCCTGATTCCTCCAGCTCCATTTTTTTCCCTCAAGACTTCTTTGGCTATTCAGTGTCTTTTGTTTCTTCATACAAATTTGAATATTCTTTGTTCTAGTTCCATAAAAAATGACACTGGTAATTTGATAGGGATTGCATTGAATCTGTAGATTGCTTTGGGTAGTATAGTCATTTTCACAATATTGATTCTTCCAATCCAAGAACTTGGTATATCTCTCCATCTGTTGGTATCACCTTTAATTTCTTTCACCAGTGTCTTATGGTTTTCTGCATACAGGTCTTTTGTCTCCCTAGGAAGGTTTATTGCTAGGTATTTTATTCTTTTTGTTGCAAAGGTAAATGGGAGAGTTTCCTTAATTTCTCTTTAAGATATTTCATCATTAGTGTATAAGAATGCATGAGATTTCTGTGCATTAATTTTGTATCCTGTAACTTTACGAAATTCATTGATTAGCTCTAGTAGTTTTCTGGTGGCATCTTTAGGATTCTCTATGTATAGTATCATGTTATCTGCAAACAGTGACAGTTTTCCTTCTTCTTTTCCATTTTGTGTTCGTTTTTGTTTTTTTTTTTTTTTCTTCTCTGATTGCCATGGCTAGGACTTCCAAAACTATGTTGAATAATAGCAGTGAGAGTGGACATCCTTGTCTTTTTCCTGACCTTAGAGGAAATGCTGTCAGTTTTTCACCATTGAGAATGATGTTTGCTGAGGGTTTGCCATATATGGCCTTTATTATGTTGAGGTAGGTTCCCTGTATGCCCACTTTCTGGAGGGTTTTTTTCATTAATGGGTGTTGAATTTTGTCAAAAGCTTTTTCTGCGTCTCTTGAGATGATCATATGGTTTTTATTCTTCAATTTGTTAATATGGTGTATCACTTGATTGATTTGCGTATATTGAAGAATCCTTGCATCCCTGGGATAAATCCCACTTGATCATGATGTATGATCCTTTTAATGTGCTGTTGGATTCTGTTTGCTAATATATTCTTGAGGATTTCTGCATCTATATTCATCAGTGATATTGGCCTGTAGTTTTCTTTTTTTGTAGTATCTTTGTTTGGTTTTGGTGTCAGGGTGATTGTGGTCTCATAGAATGTGTTTGGGAGTGTTCCTTCCTCTGCAATTTTTTGGAAGAGTTTGAGAATGATCAGTGTTAGCTCTTCTCTAAATGTTTGATAGAATTCACCTGTGAAGTCACCTGGTCCTGCACTTTTGTTTGTTGGAAGATTTAAAATCACAGTTCCAATTTCATTACCTGTGATTGGTCTGTTCATATTTTATGTTTCATCCTGGTTCAGTCTTGGAAGGTTATACTTTTCTAAGAATTTGTCCATTTCTTCCAGGTTGTCCATTTCATTGGCATAGAGTTGCTTGTGGTAGTCTTTGGATGCTTTGTATTTCTGTGGTGTCACTTGTGACCTCTCCTTTTTCATTTCTAATTTTATTGCTTGGAGTCCTCTCCCTCTTTTTCTTGATGTGTCTGGCTAATGGTTTATCAATTTTGCTTATCTTCTCAAAGTACCAGCTTTTAGTTTTCTTGATCTTTGCCATTGTTTTCTTTGTTTCTATTTCATTTATTTCTGCTCTGATCTTTATGATTTCTTTCCTTCTGCTAAGTTTGGTTTTTGTTTCTTCTTCTTTCTCTAGCTCCTTTAGGTGTAAGGTTCGATTGTTTATTTGAGATTTTTCTTGTTTCTTGAGGTAGGCTTATATAGCTATAAACTTCCCTGTTAGAGCTGCTTTTGCTGCATTACATAGGTTTTGTGTCATCGTGTTTCCATTGTCATTTATCTCTAGGTATTTTTTAATTTCCTCTTTGATTTCTTTAGTGATCTCTTAGTTATTTAGTAATGTATTGTTTAGCCTCCTTGTGTTTGTGTTTTTTACGTTTTTTCTTCTGTAATTCATTTCTAATTTCATAGTGTTGTGCTCAGAAAAAAATGCTTGATATGATTTCAATTTTCTTAAATTTACTAAGGCTTGATTTGTGACCCAAGATGTGATCTATCCTGGAGAATGTTCCATGTGTACTTGAGAAGAATGTGTAATCTGCTGTTTTTGATGCAATGTGCTAGAAATATCAATTAAATCTATCTCGTCTATTGTTTCATTTAAAGCTTCTGTTTCCATATTTATTTTCATTTTGGATGATCTGTCCATTGGTCTACGTGAGGTGTTAAAGTCCCCCCACTATTATTGTGTTATTGTTGATTTCCTCTTTTACAGCTGTTAGCAGTTGCCTTATGTATTGAGGTGGTCTTATGTTCGGTGCATATATATATATATATATATATATATATATATATATATATATATATAATTCTTATATCTTCTTATTGGATTGATCCCTTGATCATTATGTAGTGTCCTTCCTTGTCTCTTGTAACATTCTTTATTTTAATGTCTATTTTATCTGATATGAGTATTGCTGCTCCAGCTTTCTTTTGATTTCCATTTGCATGGAATATCTTTTTCCATCCCTTCACTTTCAGTCTGTATGTGTCCCGAGGTCTGAAGTGGGCCTCTTGTAGACAGCATATATGTGGGTCTTGTTTTTGTATCCATTCAGCAAGTCTGTGTCTTTTGGTTGTAGCATTTAATCCATTCACGTTTAAGGTAATGATTGATACGTATTTTTCTATGACAATTTTCCTAATAGTTTTGGGTTTGTTTTTGTAGGTCCTTTTCTTCTCTTATGTTTCCCACTTAGAGAAGTTCCTTTAGCATTTGTTGTAGAGTTCATTTGGTGGTGCTGAATTCTCTTAGCTTTTGCTTGTCTGTAAAGCTTTTGATTTGTCCATTGAATCTGAATGAGATCCTTGCTGGATAGAGTAAACTTGGTTGTAGGTTCTTTCTTTCATCACTTTAAGTATATCATGCCACTCCCTTCTGGCTTGTAGAGTTTCTGCTGAGAAATCAGTTGTTAACCTTGTGGGAGTTTCCTTGTATGTTATTTGTCATTTTTCCCTTGCTGCCTTCAATATTTTTTCTTTGTCCTTAATTTTTGCCAATTTGATTACTATGTTTCTAGGCGTGTTTCTCCTTGGTTTTGTCCTATATGGGACTTGCTGCACTTCCTGGACTTGGGTGTCTATTTCCTTTCCCTGGTTAGGGAAGTTTGTGACTATGATCTCTTCAAATGTTTTCTCTGGTCCTTTCTCTCTCTCTTCTCTTTCTGGGACTCATATAATGTGAATGTTATTGTGTTTAATGTTGTCACAGAGGTCTCTTATGCTGTCATTTATTTTCATTCTTTTTTCTTTATTCTGTTTTGCAGCAGTGAATTCCACCATTCTGTCTTCCAGGTCACTTATCCATTCTTCTGCCTCAGTTATTCTGCTATTGATTCCTTCTAATGTAGTTTTCCTTTCAGTTATTGTATTATTCATCTCTGTTTCTTTTTGTTCTTTAATTCTTCTAGGTCTTTGTTAAACATTTCTTGCATCTTCTCAATCTTTGCTTCCATTCTTTTTTCAAGGTCTTGGATCATCTTCAGAATCATTATTCTGAATTTTTTTTCTGAATTCTTGCCGATCTCCACTTCTTTTAGTTGTTTTTCTAGGTTTTATCTTGTTCCTTCATCTGTTATATAGTCCTATGCCTTTTAATTTTGTCTATCTTTCTGTGAATGTGGTTTTCATTCCACAGTCTGCAGGGCTGTATTTCTTCTTGCTTCTGCTGTCTGCCCTTTGCTGGATGAAGCTATTTAAGAGGCTTGTTCAAGTTCCCTGATGGGAGGGAGTGGTGGTGGGTAAAGCTGGGTATTGCTCTGGTGGGCAGAGCTCAGTAAAACTTTAATCTGTTTGTCTGCTGATGGGTGGGGCTGAGTTCGCTCCCTGTTTGTTTTTTGGCTTGAGGTGACCCAGCACTGGAAGCTACAAGCTCTTTGGTGGCACTAATGGAGGACTCTGGTAGGCCTTATGTCAAGGAGTACTTCCCAGAACTTCTGCTGCCAGTATCCTTGTCCCCATGGTGAGCCACAGTCACCCCATGCCTCTGCAGGAAATCCTTCCAACACTAGCAGGTAGATCTGGTTCAGTCTCCTTTGGGGTAACTGCTCCTTCCTCCTGGGTCCTTACGAGCACATTACTTTGTGTGTGCCCTCCAAGGGTGGAGTCTGTTTCCCCTAGTCCTGTCAAAGTCTTGCAATGAAATCCCACTAGCTTTCAAAGTCTGATTCTCTGGGAATTCCGCCTCCTGTTGCCAGACCCCCAGGTTGGGAAACCTGAGTTATGGTTCAGAACCTTCACTTCAGTGGGTGGACTTCTGTGGTATAATTGTTCTCCAGTTTGTGAGTCACCCACCCAGCAGTTATGGGATTTGATATTATTGTGATTGTGTTCCTCATACTGTCTCATTGTGGCTTCTCCTGTGTCTTTGGATGTGGGATCTCTTTTTTGGTGAGTTCCCGTGTATTCCTCTCAATGATTGTTCACCGGTTAGTTGTGATTCTGGTGCTTTCACAAGGAGTGCTGTTTATTTCTATTTTATAACTTATGAAACGAATACCATATTGAGTTATTTTTTTTCTGACAAACTCTATAATAGAAATAACATGAATTTATAGACCTTCAGTCAACCAAGGTACAATAAAAGTAAGATATGTCTGTATTGTAAAACTTAACAAGCTTAAGCTAGCTTTAATACCAGGTAGTAATTTAATATTAAATATTTCCTAGATCACATGAACCTGAAATTCATTCTGGCCAGTTTCTTTTATATTTAGAAATATTTAGTTTGTAAGTGTTTAGTTTTAAGTCAATTAAATTGAGTTATTTTATAAACTTAATTTTGATAATATTTTCCAGAGGTAGAGACATCTCAATATAATGTACACACAGATGTATAAACAGACAAAACTAGAGATCTCAAAGCTTCACTTTAAGAACTTAGTTATTAATCAGTTATTACAATACAAACTTACTAGTTTATAAGTAACAGTTTGTATAAGTTAAATTTGTTTGCTCAAGGGACTGAGGCTTTGCTATTTGTGGAAAAGACTTTTAAGATTTGTATTTGTCCTTCATAAACCCTTAAGGAGACTCTGAATCAGATTTTGGGTGAGGGAGCCTTTCCAGTGGTTTGAGTTTAAAAAGGACTTTTTCTCCTTTTTTTGACCTTGGTTTCAGATTTTACCTAATTGAACTAATTATGCTCAGTTGTAGGTCACTGTGAGCTGTATACACATTTCTGATTTGTAGACTCTTTTTTCCACTGCAAAGCTTTTTATTATTTTTTTCATCTGTTTTGTTATATACATTTGTTTGTCTTATTTTTAGATTCCACATATAGGTGATAACATACAGTATTAGTCTTTCTCTCTCTGACTTATTTCACAAAGCATAATACTCTCTAGGTCCAACCACATTGTTGCAAATAGCAGAATTGCATACTTTTTTATGGCTGAGTACTATTCCACTGTATATATATACCACATCTGTATCCATTCATCTGTTGATGGACACTTGGGTTACTTCCATGTCTTGGCTGTTGTAAATAAAGCTGCTATGAACATTGGGGTGCAAGTGTCTTTTCGAGTTATTGTTTTTGCTTTTGGAATTTTTGAGCTATATACCCAAGAGAAGAATTGCTGCTGGATGATATGGTAGTTCTGTTTTTAGTCTTTGGAAGAACATCTGTAGTGGAGGTTTTCCATTGTGGCTGCACCAGTTTACATTCCCACCAACAGTGTACAGGTGTTCACTATTTGTAGACATTTACAAGACAAAGACAGTTGCCTTTAATTCTCCAAAGGACCAGTGTGCCACCTAAATGATATCAAAGGATTGATTTGCCCAACTACTCTTTCTTTAATTTGCTTTTCATGTCAGTGAGAAGATTTTCAACTAAATAAAACATTAAGAGTTCCATGTTCTAGAATTTTAGGGTTTAATTTCTCATACTTTCAAAGGTTTGCATAGGCCTTCAACATAGTCCCTCTTTCTGAGTACACAGGTTAGACCCAGAGCAAAATCTCTACTCTTATTTTTATTAGCTGAAAATTAGCTCTCAGTTTTACTTTATATTGTATGGGCTCAGGTAACCCTATGGGTTTCCTTTAGTATGTTTAATTAATATTTCCTGAGGGGCAGATTCATATGACCTGTTTTATAATGCCAAGCAGGGGAAGCATTCCCCAGTGAAAGGTCTATCCCACAATATAATTAGGCAAAACAGATGAAACTACCTTATATAAAGCCTATTTAAATATACCAGTTTTTGCAAACTTTTATCTCAATTCCATCAACTTTTATGTCTTTAACTATAGTTTTCACTAGAATCCAATCAACAAGTTTTGGTCTTACAAGGAGTCCCAGAAGGTTTTCCTTACTTTTTATTCCCAGACTGCTTAATCTATTTTGTATAAAATGCTCTGGGGTCCCCAGTGAGGGTTTGAGCCAAAGGAATCAGGCTCATTTGTCAATCTTTTAACTTGATTAATTGACCTAACTATTGCCCCAAATAATTGTTGGTCAGGTATTTCAGTGTAATTTTCTTCCAGCCTTTTAAATATATATATACACATATATAATATTTTAAATATATATATACAATATTTTAAGTATATACAAATATTTATAATTTCTAAAATATATATAAATATACATAATATTTTAAATAAATATATATATATATATTAAATGGGGATAAGTAGAGTGGACTTGTTTTGGGCCCTTTAATGTTGGAGACCAATAGGGGGTCCCTTTGGCCCATCCAAGCCTAGGTAGTGTTCTACCAAACCTTTGTTTTAATCCCATTAACATTCATTTTATTTATTCCATTTTAAAATAACCATCTAAAGATTTCTTTATCCATTTGGAATGAGTCCCTTTAAAATTTCTACCTTTTTGTGAAGTCTCTAGACTTTCTCTTCAGTTTTTTTTTTTTTACTTCCCTGTTAATCAACTTAATTAACATTAATATGCTAATGTTTTTATTAACATCTGTAAGACCCATTGACGGGAAGCAGAGACTATAAATAAGGTTACCCAAACTGAATTTTTAGTTTGTTTTAAATTAAAGGAGCTCTTAGGTTAACCATTATATCATTTTATATATTTTCCACATTTTAATTTATTTTTTTAATAGGTACCAATAAAATAGCTGTTTATCATGAGAGCTCTCTAAAATTTACAAATTTAGAAATTTCTCCAATTTAGAGGATCCCTCATCTGGCCATTAATGAGATATATCTTAATAGTGATTCAAACAAGTAAGATGCAAGAGACATTCTCCAGAAGAGAGTGCAAAGGATGTCATCTAAACAAGATCAGAAAGTTTGCTCCCAAAAATAGTCTAAGAATGCAAAGGCCTTCATTGTACAGGCTGATGCAATGAAGGTTAAGATGGCAAAAAGCCCCTGAGAGTTGGCACAGTCATACAAAAGACTGCTCAGAATCCCTCTATTCAACTGGCTGCCAAATGTACACCATATGTGTATATTTTGGATGGCAGAGACCAAGTTCTCAAAACACATACACACACATGCAATGCCTAAGAAGATCAGGTAGAACATTTACATCTCACAAACATGAGGAGAGAAATGCAAGTTCCTCTAGGAAGGCTTTTGTGTCCTTAAGGCCAAAATCCTGAAAAGGTGTTTTATCAAATCAGTTTTCTCCAACTTAACTGTGTACACAATGAAAGAGCACAATCGTAGTTATTTTCAAGGTGAGATTGCCTTTAATTCCCAATTAAGTAAGTACTTGTAAGTGTAAATTTTTTATATACATAAAACTGGCTGAGGTATTAGTTGGAGGCTGGCAAACTGTCATTCCTTTTTCTTTTGTTTTGAAAGATTGTTTCCCCATTCCAAGATGGATTTGTTGAGATAAAATCACTAGTGAAGATTGTGTGGTGGGTCAATGTGCTGTTTGTGAGCTCAACTCCTCTAGGTTTCATCTTAGAGTTGTTTCAGCCTTGTTACATATTTCTTTCTCCCCTCAGTAACCTAAAACCAGCATGGGTGCTCATATCAGAGTGGCCAGCTCTTATGTGTGTTCCTGCCAGAGCATATTTTTAACTAAAATGTGTCTGTTTCCCTATAGGGATGGCAGCACAGAATGAGGACTTGCTTCCACCACTCCTACAAGTTTCTCAGTTGTCTGAGAAAGACTTTACCAGCCAGGAGTAGATGTCCCTTCTTTGAAGCTGAAAGCTCTTATAAGATGTCTTCACTTTTATTTCAACAAAGTCTATCAAAGTAGCCAATTCAAGGAAAAATTACAGGCCAGTCTTCCACCTAATAACCTAGTCCAAACGTACTCAGTGTCTTTCAGCTGAGCAAAGTCTTCCCAGTCTTTCAACTGAGGATAACCTGCTCAGTGCCTAAACTGAGCAAAAACCTTCCCAGTGTCTTTCAACTGAGCATAACACACTCAGTGTCTAAACTGAGCAAAATCTTACAGTGTCTTTCAACTGAGGATAACCTACATCCCTCTTTTTGAAACTAAGTTTCAAGGATAATCTACTCCTCCAGAGAGAAGTTTAACACCACCAAATAAAACTTAGGATCATCAGCCAATAATGAGAGATCTGAGAACCAGGAGAGACTTACACAAATTCATCTGGACTCACTGAGGAGCAGGATGGGCACAAGAGGTCTCTGCTAGTATCAGGCTCCAGATATTCATAAACTTCAGGCAAAGAAGAGAAGTCTGTTCTGGACCCTTCACTGGTCATCAAAACTGTCAACTGAAAAAAAAAAAAAGGCACAAGCTAAATGTTAAGAATTATGTTTTATTTGGGGGACATACTGAGGACCTAAGCCCAGAAAACAGCCTATCAGATAGCTCTGAGGGGCTGTTCCAAGAGGTAAATGAGGAACAAGGATATAAAGGTTTTTTTTCAAAAGCAAACAAACCAGTAGTTGTAACATCAAAAGATTATTGTTAAAGAAAAACTGATAGGGACAGACTAAAGGGACAAAGTAGGTGATTAAGTAGTCAATCCCACTAGGGGATTGTAAGTAGAAAAAAAAATATGGGGGACCTCTGTAAGTTAATGATTACTCAAGAAAGCAGGTTTGCTTAACCACAAAACCAAGCAGGCTTGCTTAGCAACAGAACCCTGAGACATGCCCCAAAACAATAAAACAATGATGGCATGAGACCCACATCCTGTCCAGTGAGCTCAGCAAGTTAATGACCCCTAGGACATGCTCTTTGCACACATAAAAATCAATAAAATATGGAAACATTACATTTCAAAATGAAAGACCCTCATTGTACTGAGACCTTAAATAATTTTTCCATAGTGCCATGACAGTCCCAGCTTGACCATGTAGGGACAAGAAAACTCTCTTGCCCAACATGAAGGAGGAACTGATGATGGAAATGTGAAATCTACTCAAGAATAAGGAAGAAGGTGTTTTTTTCCCCCTCCCCACTTTTCCTTTGATTATAAAACTTCAGCCCATTAAATTCTCAGGGTGTGGCACTCTCTCACCCACCATCTTGTGAGACTCACAAGCGTCTTATTCTAATAAATCGCTTCTTACCTATCACTTTGCCACTCGTTGAATTCTTTCTGTGCTGAGACATAAAGAACCAGAGTTCCTTGGAGCCCTTCAAAATGCCACCTAGCGGTTTCAAAACCGGACACCTCATGTTAATGAATTTAGCACTTTTCTATGTATGGGAAGATGCAAGAGTCTGGACTCAATGAAATCATTCCTTTGATATGCACCTTAACTATCTAGGGGCAATAAATTATTTTCTCTATCCTGAATCCCCTCAGTGTCTACCACAAGCCAGGGTGGGAAGGGGTGGCTGCAGTGGCTGATGGCTTGATGACTGCAATATCGTTTGTTTATTGATATGGCAGGTAACATTCTTTTTACAATAGTATGATAAAAAATATTTTATCCAAAAAATAGGATTCTTTTGAGAGTAAAAGTGGGAAGTATAAATTGGGGTTATCCTAGACAAATCAGAATATATGATCATCTACTTATTAGCCAATAATGATTTTTTAAGAATTAAAACCATACTGTTTGAAATATTCTGCAAAAAAGTTTGGTTTTACTCTCATAATATTTAATGTATTTTTAACTGAACAACCAATATCATGACAAGAATGAAATAATACTAACATAAGATACATAATATAGGGAAGAATTTCCTAAAGTATGTGTCTGAAAAATTTGGCTATACATTTTATTAAAAGGTATCATACATAAAACACATAACATAACATTTATTAGTCAAAAAAGTTTGAGAGCTGCTACCTTAAAACATGTATATCAGTTTTCAAGAAAGGTGAAAAAATATTTTAATCATACACCAACATCAGATCATATTTTATATCACTTTTGAGTAAAATAGATGCTTTCAAGTTTCTCCTTCCCTGTCATTCTTTTTCAGCAGTTAATACATTTATTCAAAATAATTTGGATATCATGGAAAAATTACAGATACCATCTCCCCAACAGAAGTCATCTGCCAGCTGTGTAATATTTGTGGGATTTTTAATGGTTTGAATTTTTCTGGGTGTATCTTCTAACATCTGACAAGCAGCATTTAACCTAAGGTATATTTGAATCTATATAATGACTGAGGTCTATTGAGTAAATGAATATATAGATTAAACTCTAAGCCTTTTCTTAATTGATTCCAAACATCATAGCCTCTGATCTTAAAGAGCATTAATAAGCGGTTCAGAACCATTAACAGGCACACTTTCTAATGAAATTGTCTTCTGTTTTTTTTCTTGAAAGTCATAGAGGTTTTTTCTAATCAGATTTTTTATTTCAGTTTTGCTTTATTTCTTCCCCAAAATGATTTCCTTTATAACATTGACCCACTCATTGACCCACTCATCTTGATTTGTAATTTTACTGCTTTATTTATTTGTTTCTTCCATTATGCTTTAAGTTTCATGAGGGCAAGGAACAGGTATGTTTTATTTTACTATAGAATCCTCATGGTCTAATATACCTCCAGGCACAAAATGGTCAGCAAAAAGGATTTAAATTGATTAAATAATTGATTAGAATAACACTGAAAATTAATTATAAATTTTATCCTAATCTAGTCAAAGGCATCTAAGAATACTAATGAGAAATTTTTATGGAATTTAGAGTATAAGAATTTGGTTATAAATTTAGCCCTTGTGGGTTTAGTGCTGAAGACTTTACTGAGACCTACCTGAAGCAGGAAAACTAACACCCCTTAATAAGATGCTGCACTCAAATTTCTATCTATCTATCAATCTATCTATCTATTTATTTTTAATTGAAGTATATTTGATTTGCAATGTTGTGTTACTTTCTGGTGTACAGCAAAGTGATTCAGTTATATATATATATATATATATATATATATATACACATATATATTATTTCTCATAGTTTTTCATTATGGTTTATTATAGGATACTGAATATAATTCCCTATGCCATTAATTTATTTTAAACAGAAAAATTAATTCATTATCCCTGAGGAGCAGCAAAATTGTTTGCCGTCTCACTAGGGCCCTTTGGGTGGGAAAAATGTACCCTCCAATTAATCAAAACCCCAGGCCCTCACGATCTATAGATATGGGTCCAAATTTATAATGTCAGCTTGGTGCAGAAATTGTAAGCCAAGAACCTGACATGAAAACAATTCCAGGATTACTGACACTCAAGGTCCTCTATGAATGCAAATATAGAGCTGCTCTGTGGGGTCACTTTCCAAAGGGATGGTGCCCTGACTGTGGAGGACTTGGTAGCCTCTTAGAAAATCTTTGTTGAGAAGAGAAGCTAAGAGTGTAAGAATGAAAGCAGAATATGTAGGGGGCATTTGAAGTAATCTAAGAGAAACAGTGCAGTAGTGGCTACAACAAGTTAGTCAATGGTCATGGTGGTGAGAATTGGTGGAATTTAGTACATATTATAAAGTTTGATCAGACAGGATTTGCTGATAGATAAGATATGGCATATGAGAGAAAGAGAGGAGTTGGTGATTTTTAAAAAGTTACTTAGAAATGACCAAAATTAATTGGACATAATGACAAACACCAACTATTTAAAACAAAAGTTGAGAGAACTACTAAGAGAAATTAAAAAGCAATAGTGAGCAATTTTAACACATCTCTCTTAGGAATTGATAGAATTAGCAGGACCAAGTTATTAAAGCTAATAAAATATGAAATTACAATTAAAAAGCCTGACAATAAGCATATATTGAATTCCACATTCAACAAATATACAAAGCATTTTTCTTCAAGCACTCATGGAGCATGAACGAAATAGACTTATACCATAAGATAAGTCTCAGTAGACTACATTTTCTGACCAAAGTGCAATTAATTTTGAAATCAGTCACAAAGAGATGGGTAAAATGATAGTGTACTCATATATTTGTTTTCTTTTCCTGATCCTTAGAATAAATAATAAATACTAATTTAGTCATTGAGATATAATGCTTCACTATGGATTTTAGGCAACATATTTTTGAT